CTATGAGGGTACCGATTCCCCCACGCTCCAAGCATTTTTATTAAATGTTTTCACACTTAAACGGCTATATTATCTTCATTAATTATCACTAAAGTTTAGAAGTGATTCAAAGTGTATTTAAGCAAGCTTAGAAGCCATTGATCAAAGACAAGAAACATCAAGCAACTAGAATCAAGAGAGAATCAAAGAGAAAGCATCAAACCTCAAAGTTCGATAAATTTAAATACTTAATTGAAATACTTAATTAACTCAAAATAATTGAAATACTTAAATACTTCCAAGTTTGATAAATTCAAATACTTAAAAACTTCCAAGTTCGATAAATTCAAATACTTAAAAACTTCAAGTTCGATAATTGAAACAAAGTTTACGATAATTGAAATAAAGTTATAAAATAAACTACATTGCCATCTCTTCTTCATCATCTTCGCCTTCTTCGTTTGGAGGGGATATTCCAAGTTCGACTTCTTCAATGTGTAAGTTTGCTTCCAAATCGGCATCAATTGCATCTTCTAGGGTGGTGATATGTTGCTTACGAGCCGCTCCATCCAATAATCCTTTAAACAAATGCATACTTCCACCGACTCGGGACTTAGTCTTGATCTCCGTTGCGATATAACCCTGCCACTAACAGAAAAAGCGGATTCCGAAGCTACCGTAGAAGCTTGGACGGTTAGTAAATCACGGGCCATGGCGGCTAGAATCGAAAATTGTGCTTCCTTTTCTTTCCACCAAGCCAAAATATCCAAACTTTCAAACTCTTCAAATGTCATTTTTGATAGAAAATCGCATGACATATAATTTCCCAACTCGCTACTTGGGGTGGTAGTACATGATCGTTTGGATTGAGAATTTACAAGAGTGTTAAAAAGATTCAAATTTATGTTACTTGGACGTCTACTAGATGATTCCGCATTCATTCTCATTTGATCGTGTATTACACTACTTGATTCGTATTTATTTAAATAAATTGCAAACATGTCTCGAAAACATTTGTTAAAATAATTTATTTGGTTTTGGACAAGTTGGGTTCATCATCGGTTAGATTAAAAGCAACGCATTTGTTCAATTAGTGTTTCAACCCCACCAACATTTAACGTTGGGTTTAAAGCGGCGGCACAAGTAAAAATGGGGGAATCTCCTTAAAATATTTTAAAAGTTTTTCCTTCATTGCAAAGCCAATTTCTTGAAAAACTTCGGTTTCAAATTCAAAGTCATTTAGTCGGGTAGCCAACAAAAATATTTGATTAAGAACCAACGGGCTAGTAGGGTAAAAACACCGGATAAAAAAGTTGTTGCATTTTTAAAAACCTCAAGCAAATCGGTTATTTTGGCTATAGTTTCCCAACTCGAATCTGGATAAATGTTTGGGACATGACCCCTCTCGAAAAGCCGATCGTGAAATGTTTGCAATGTTTCCCTTTGCCTTAAGGCAGTATGCATCATCATCCAAGTTGAGTTCCAACGAGTTGGACAATCCAAATTAGGACCCAAAGCTTTTTATTAACGGACTTACAAAATCGTTTATAATCATTTAGTCTTTTGTTGTTGTTACAAAGAACCGATTTTATCATTGTTTGAATTCTAATCTAATCGGCTCAATAACCTCCAAACCGGCTTGCACGGATAAATTAATTATGTGTGCAACGCAACGGGTATGAAAAAACGCACCGTCTAAAATCGGTGAAAGTAATATTTTCAATCTTGGAACCGCGTTTGTATTATTCGATGCATTATCAAAGGATATAGAAAAAACTTTATTTTCTAATTTATAAAGACAAATTACCCTTTTTAAAAGTGTAAATAAATTAACACCGGTATGCGGCTCACCGAATAATTCAAACGCGATTGTTCTTTTCATCATTTGCCAATTATCTTGATCTAACCAATGTGACGTAACGGCTAAAAAAGAATTTCCGGTATTATGAGGGGAACTCTAAACGTCACATGTAAGCGACACACCATAACGGTGTTCTTGGAATCCTAAAATCATTTTTCCTCGCCGTACGCACATTTTTATAGCATCTCTTCTAAGGGTAGTACGACTTACTTTGAGTATAACGTGGTTGCATTAGTTGTTGAATTGTGTCGTGAAATCTTCATCATCAAAGTGGTCGAACGACAATGCTTTTGTAATCACGAACTTTGTAAACGCTTCTCGTAATTTTTCGTTGTCGTAAACAAAAACACCACCTTGCGGTGTAAGATTCGATTGACTAGGATCCGATCTTGAGCGAAGTGCCTTGCATGATTTTGTCAATGGTTCTTCAACGTTGTGTTTCCTTCCGATGCAAGAAACTTTAGACAAAGTTTACAACGCGCCTCTTCGAGCCATTTGACATCTCACATAAATCGTAGTGATCCCAAATGTCTTTGTTTCGAGTGTGTTCGATCACTCTCACGACTTCAAGGTTTCCCCCCGACGGAAGATTCAGCCGTGTTACTCATGATGAACAAAAAATTACAAAAGTAAGATTTGAGAGATGTTTAAGTGTTGTGTAATAAGATTTGAGGAATTTGTAATTAACCAAATACATCCCAACCTATTTATACATGTTTAGGGTGGTAAAATGGTAATTTTTTAAAGAAAAAACGGTCACAAAACCCCCCCAACGGCTATATTAACGGCTAGTTTTTTAAACCCAGACCGGTTTTTTTTTCGGATAAAAACCGGTTTTTTAACCGGTTTTTTTCAAACCGGTTTTTTATCCGGTAAAAAAACCGGTCTAGGTTTTTTTCTCCAAACCGGTTAAAATAACCGGTTTAAAAAAATTCGATCCGGTTAAAAAAAAACCGGTTTTTCCCAAAACCGGTTTCGGATATTTTTTTCGGATATTCGAATTTTTTGTGCACCCCTAGAGGAGATGCATAAGCTAAAGGGCTGCTTGAGCAACACCCCTAATACTTGTATGAAGATCATGGTGATGTTTACCTTATCATGTAATTTTTCAACACCACTGTGGCTCCGAGCCGCATGCGAACGACGACTCTGTTGCTGGTCGTTTACAAGACAATTAGCAAGCATTTATGCAATGTCTGGGCTAAGTATAACTTTTCCCTCTGCTCGGCCACTTATAGCTTATTTAGAGTAATGCAATGAATTACAGGCTTGCTTGGTTCACTAGACCCTTGCTGGAAATCATCACTCTCAAGCTTAAGGGATTTAGAAGATTGTTTCCATGACAACGCACTAAAAAGCTTTGCAAAATTGCTCCTCTTCCCATAACATGAACGATGTTGGGAGGGCAAGATTTCGGACAAGAAGGCCTGCTCACTTTTGTTTGCATTGGGTTTCCATGGAAGAGAATTGTCTGCAATAATTGTTATGTCCTTCGCTTGCGGCTGCAACATAGTGTGACTATCGCATCGTAATGTCTTTCAAGGTTATCGTGACACGCAAAACGCATCCGCAACATAATAATATAGTTATTTTTAAGAAATAGAACGTGTTGTAACATCCGTCGCAATCGCAGCTTAGTATTATACCATAAACTAGTCATCTAACTACCTTATAATCCCATCCAAGGTCTTCTTGTTCTTCAATACCATCACGGCCACATCTCCGTAAAGAAGATACGTTATAAGAAGGTATTAGTTTATCTGTTGGAGAACTTTAATTGATCTCTTGATGTCTTTTTAATCTAAAACAGATTGATGTTGAAGTTATCAACTGAATAGTGTCAGAAAAGTTTAGATGCAAATGAAGATTTCAATGAAAATTTCTGATTCAATGATGATTGAAGCTCTTCAAGATTGAAGGCGATTATTCGTGTTAATATAAAACTTCTCTTTAATAGCAAGACCTTTGCTTCGGCTCAACAAATTCCGGCACAAAACATTTCATACAATTTCATCATCGTTCAATCAAAATCAGTTTGTCGAGTTATCCGAGGTCCGAGGAACTTCTTCTGGCTGTGATCGGCTGTGAATGGCCTCGAATGCTTGAACACAAGTTTTCGAGAACCCCATTAACGCCTGAAATACATTGGGAAGGATAGTTTTCAAACCGTTTAAAATCATGGCCTTGCTTTCTTGGACTGAGTTTAGATGTTTGGCCTTCTCCGTATCAACTCGCTCCTTCAAGGCTTCGGTTTTCGCACTCTTCACCGATAAAGGATGATTGGGGCTCAGCATGTAGTTCACATCGCCCTCGACCTTCTTCTCCATCTCGGTCAGTGAAATTAACTCCTTCTGCAACCTTTTCTCGAGCTTCTCGGATTTTCTTTGCTGGTTGTGCTCCTCAGCCTGCTGTTGGATTATAGGTTCAACGGCCAACAGAAAGCTTTTAATGGCCTCCGAAGCCACCTGCATGGGACCGGAGATTAGTAAAGAGAATTCCAGATGATAGAATAGAGGGTCAACTAAAATGCTGCTCGAGTTAGCTTATCAGGTAATTTTGCAAAACCACGTTGCCATTCTTCGGAGAGAAATAGGGAAGAAAACAAAGTTCAGTGAGTAAGCATGTAATTTACCCTTTATTTTTTTAAAAACTCAATGTATATAAAATAATTATTTGATATACTAAATTCTTTATAGATAATATAATTATCTATATTAAATAAATTAAAATTATTCGAGAATAAAATTTTTCAAAATTACACCGATATTCTTTTTTTTTCCAAACATGCAATTCTTGGTACAATACATATAGTATCTAACTTCTTGATCCATAAGATATCTATAAATTAGAGTATATTGAACGTTGAAGCATGATTAATCTATATTCTCACGTGTAATATGACAGTGATAACATCGTAATATCAATCTAACTATAGTTTATTTTTAGTTGGGCTTTTAAAACTTAAAGCCTTGTGAGTTGCAGTAGCACGTAGAGATCAAGCTTACTTAATGAAACAGAACTATATAGCATCTATAAAAATATCAAACAGTTATATTGGATCAAGCTGACCATATGCATAGGAATTCATCATTCTCTCTCTCCATTTTTTTTAAAAAAAAAAGGGTAACCTGAATCAATCTCATTGTATATTTAACAGCCTCCGGATACCTATTATTCATATGTTTCTGCTCAGCTTTCAACCTTTTCAAGGTATGGTTTTTTTAAGCTGTATAATCTCAGTCTCAGCCACACATGAAATCATGGTTTCTTTTACTTATATATATATATATATATATATATATATATATATCGCTGTATAATATACAAAGAAATGGAATCTTCCATGGAAGAACACAGTGAATGAATAGAATCTGTCATGGATTTAAATGCATGCATGCAATCTGCTTTCTTGGTGAAGTTGTTTGCTATTTTTTTTTTTGCATCATAGGTTGATGAGATCTGTAGAGAATAACTCAGAATTCATTGGAAAAAAACCCTAAATTTTTAGAGAATAACAGATGATTTTCGTTGTTATTGAATAGTTTCTTGGACTTTCTTCCTCTAGGGTGAGCTAGGCCTTATGGGGATCATACAAAAAACCCCCATTTTTGTTAACGATGATTATTGAACTGATATTTCACATGGTCTTTGATAATTAGTCGTTTTAATTCCTCAAACTGATGCATTTTGGGTGTTTTCAGAGTACCATATAGCATGGCAATTGAAAGTACTGATGTTGATGGCAATGGAAGTGGTTCAAAGAAGAGGGGATGTGGTTGCACCAAGCAAGATTTCTTGCCAGAACAGTCGTTTCAGAGTTGTAAAAGCTATTTGAATGCGCTGTTCAACACAAGATCCAGGCTTAAAGACCGTCTGCTGGCGCGTTCCACGGACCACATCGAGCTGCACGAGATACGCGATCGTAGTAGGCACGAAATGAAGAAGACCCTGAATTGGTGGGACATGATTTGGTTCGGCATCGGAGCCGTACTCGGTTCTGGAATATTTGTCCTCACAGGTGAAGCTGCTAGGAATCTTGCAGGTCCTGCTGTTGTGGTTTCTTATCTTATTTCAGGTATTACTGCTCTGCTCTCGGTTCTGTGCTACACTGAATTCTCGGTCGAATTGCCTGTTGCCGGTGGCTCGTTTACGTATCTTAGAGTCGATCTCGGTGATTTCGTTGCTTATATTGCTGCTGGAAACATTCTTTTCGAGTATGTCGTCCCCGGTGCTAGTGTGGCATGGTCCTGGACTTCGTATCTAGCTACTCTGTTCAACCAAGATCCGGATAGTTTCCGGTTCCATGTTTCATCAATTGCTGAAGGCTACAACGACTTAGACCCTATTGCAGTTGCTATTTCACTAATCATTTGTATCGCCGCATGTCTGAGCACGGAAATGTCGTCAAAGTTCAATTCGACCACCACCAGTGTCCATCTAATAGTCCTGCTTTTCATTCTCATTGCTGGTTTAACCAAGGCTGACCCAAAGCATTTTTCACCCTTTGCCCCTAAAGGAATCCATGGTATTCTCAAAGCTTCCTCTGTTCTCTTCTTTGCTTACGTCGGGTTCGATGGTGTGGCGACCCTCGGAGAAGAGGTTAAGAACCCCGGTCGAGATATTCCGATCGGCTTAATAGGCTCCATGTCGATTATCATAATAGTGTATTGCCTTCTCTCAGCTACTCTGATTTTCATGCAACCATACAACCAGATTGATGTGGATGCACCATTCACTTTGGCATTCCAATCCGTAGGCATGAAATGGGCGAACTATATTGTTGCAATAGGTGCATTGAAGGGCATGACGACTGTTTTGCTAGCCAACCTGCTCGGTCAAGCTCGGTATTTCACTCACATAGGCCGAACTCATATGGCGCCACCGTTTCTCGCGGCCATTAACGAGAAAACCGGAACACCGATTATTGCCACAATCGTCATGACTATCTTCAACTTCATCGTCGGATTCTTCACGAGCCTCGACGTGTTGGCAAACCTTCTTTCTTTAGCAACATTGTTCATTTTCTCACTGGTTGCATTGGCACTTCTCAATAGATGTTACTATGCCGGAGGCGAGACGACATGTTCCGACCGAAACAAGCTGATCGGTTTCTTGGTATTGATCGTAGGATCCTCGATTGCTACTGCCGTGTATTGGGCGGTGGGAAAAAATGGATGGATCGGCTTTACTGTGACCATCCTGATTTGGTTCCTAGCGACACTCGGGCTAAAATTGGTGGTGAAGGAAGCAAAGAAACCCAAGCTGTGGGGTGTGCCATTAATTCCTTGGATACCGTCGGCTTCGATCGCCATTAACGTGTTCATCATGGCTTCGATCGACGGTGCGTCGTATATGAGATTCGGAACCTGGACATTGCTCTTGCTGGTCTATTATGTGTTCATCGCACTACATGCTTCGTATGACGCAGCTAAGGAAACTGCTGATACAACATCAATGGCTACTGCTACAAACATTGAGGTTGGAGGAGCATCACAAGTTGACCATTGAAAATATTATTATAAATTAACATTAGTTTTTGAGAGAATAGGTTATATATGCTTTCATTCATTTACTGTCATTATTTCTACCTTTGAGGTTAATCAGATTAATGCAACTTTTGTTTAGGAAAAAATCAGTTCACTTAAAATAATTGGTCATTCAAATGGGTTAGTGTAGAAGGTATAAATGAACAGAGCGTAATGGTCCTAACTGCCGATATAGACATGCAAAGCTCCCAGGACCACCGCCTTCTGTGGAAGAAGTCCTGTAAAAGATTCAGCAATTAACATCTTACAATTATAATAACAAATTTTTTCAACAACGGAATGCCGGCTTTTCCCAACAGACTGAAAACCTCAGATTCCACAAGGACAAAACAATGTAAACCAAGGAGCAGCTGGAAAACCTTCTGCAACAGAGTCTGCTAATGTGCAGCAGCAACAAGAACAATTTCAATTCCCCCAGCAACAGGTCAGCCAGACTCAAATACAAAATGTCCCCAATGGTCAGTCTAACCAGGCGAACAGAAGTGCCATGCCTTTGCCTCATGGAACATCTAGGTGTGTTCAGAGTTCTGGGGTCTTTAATTGTGTTCTGTAAATCATTACTTTTTTTTTTGCTTTGGATAGAGTTATGATGTGTCCTTAATTCAATTACAATTGCCCAACAGACACATCATCTATCAGGTGCAATTAGTTTCATAAGAACCTAGAACAGTTAGTTGCTCTTTTTCCTGCATGTTTATTCTGTGTTGTTCAAATTTCATATTTTGAATGATTGACTATTCTTTTGTGTTGTTTACTCCCTGAAGATCTTGTATTTTTTATTTTGCAGTGGTCTAAAAATGTATAAATTTTTTTCCTTAGATGGTACAGGTAAGGCCTAAGAGTTGAATAAATTAACCTTTATCGTATGTCTACAAAGAATAATGAAGTTATCGTAACTAAACTTTTTGCAGCTTTAGATACAACAAACAATTTTAAAGGTTTATTCTTTTATGACATACAAGGTCAGGGGAAGAAAATAGTCTCTCTATTTATTTATTTTGAACCATTTTCCACACCTGAACCATCTTGTTTACTAGAATGTGATGTACTCTGGTGTGTTCCCCCCCCCCTTTATTTAGAAATCTGAAAGAAAATCGCTCACTTTTCTGTGCACATGCTTATTTTGCCACATTTGACTTAAATTTACTGCTTCATGTAATGGTGTGGCTCAATGAGAGAAGGGGCAGATTAGAATATTATAGCAATAAGAAAGTGATTGCATAAACAATAGAGAAAATAAGTTTCCGATTTTAATTTTTAGTTCTTAAATCTAGAGTTGAGAACCAGTACAAGAAGATGGTTCCTAGAGGGATTGAAATGCTCAGTTGCCATCAGTAAGGTACTAAAGTTTAATCTATGCTTGAACTTAGCCAACATTTCTCAAGTAGTGATTTTACTGGCTTTGCATTTGTCTACGCGTTGAATGTTTGAGAACTACTATGCCTAAAAATGCTTAAGTTTAGATTCAGCTTTATAATTGACAATCATAGCAGTAATAAGGACGTGTCTGGAATGACTTATTATAATACTTTTTACTTTGATTAAGCGATTGATTTCCATTGGTAACATTCATCTTAGTCTATGGCAGCTGTACAAGGATTCTCTATTTGCTATTCTATTTTCCCCCCTGAATTGACATTATTCTCAGTGTTGAATCATGTGTCATTTTATGAGTAACTTTGTTATGATCGGTTACTTTTAAATATGGCTTCTTAGGTATTTTATTGTTGAAAGTTGCAACCGCGAAAATCTGGAACTATCTGTTCAACAAGGAGTATGGGCAACTCAAAGAAGCAACGAGGTTAAACTGAATGAAGTCTAGCATCCACAATCCTCTATCTGTTCAATTTGATAACCAGTACCTGTGTTATTATGAAAAAACTTGTTATGCATATCTTATCTGTTTACCTTTTCCATCCCGTAACTCCTCAAGTAAATCTTATGATAGTATTAGGACAAAACTTTGCCTTTTGTCTCTGATGATGTTTTAGGTATTACATTGTCTTGGCATATTAGGGTTGTGCTAAGATGACATCCAAAATTGGTGGATTTGTTGGTGGAGGGAACTGGAAATATGCTCATGGAACTGCTCACTATGGACGGAATTTTTCAGTAAAATGGTTAAAGGTGCATTCTTTTCTCCTCTCCATCCTTCCTCTGCTTTTTGAACAAAATGCTCTGTTAAGCTAAGTTTTAAGGAACTAAAAAGGTTAAAGATATTCTTAGCATGGTGCTTATTTTGATCATTTCTGTTTATGAAATCTATTTTGTGATCTGGCAGATAAGTAGAGACTGTCAGGAGTTAGAGCCTTCTGTTGGGGAGCAGCTAGCCTCCTTGCTTTATCTTGAGCCAGGTAGTGAGCTTATGGTATGGTTATTCTATTTTATTTTATTTTTCTAATTTCTGAGTTTGAACACATTGAAATTTAATTATTAGAATAAGAGTAGTAAAAGTAGCGATTCAAAAAAAGGGGGAAAAAGCATGGCAGAAGTAAAAAGAACAAAGCAGATGAAAGAGAGGGAAGCAAATCTTGTGTTCTACTGCTTGGTGCTAATTATGATTTCGTTTATGTACATAAATGTGAGGTCCGTTTATGACATAAATATCGATTTAAGACAGGCAGATAGCCCTCCTAATAAGTCATTCTCTGCAGGTGGTGTTAGTGATAAATGTGTATGCGTTCTTGTGGGGAGTTGAACTATGACGTTATCCTCGTGAGATTAGATACAGTTGACCGATGAGCGATGTTTACTTCATTTTCCACTGGAAGGCTGTTTAGATACGGACAGACTGAGAGCATATTGGATGTCCGCAATGAATGATTTTGTATGTTTGTATTCATCTTTTTATTCCCATGGATACAGGCAATTTCACTGGAAGCAGAATCAAAATGTGACCAAGAGAAAGCAAAGGGAGTCAATTCAGATATTGGAGGAGACAACCCAGACATCGTTCCATTTGAGGAAAATGAAGAAGAGGAAGAGGAAGAAAGTGAGGAGGAAGAAAGTGAGGAGGATGAAAGCTTTGGTGCTGCAGATCAGGGCATTAGAATGATGCGGCCCCCTCACATGCCACTGGTCTGTGGAGCCAGAGCAGAGGACACCAACCAATGACAGATATAGTGCAGTATCAGAGCAGAGCAGAGGTCAGGACATAACCGGTCCCAGGGGTGAGTTGGATGACGAGACACAGTATCAGCATGAAGTACAAAAGGCAGATTCACACGTTGCTGGATACAGCTTTAGAAACGTAGACAGTGAAAGTGAGGGCGAGGCACCAAGAAGGTCAAGACATGGAAAAGGAAGAAGAAACGAAGAAGCTTAGAAGATGTGACCCTCGGCGTAGATGGCTCGATAATTGTTCGCAAGATTGCCATCAGTTGTACTTTGCATACATAGATTGTTTCCATCTTCCAATTGCCGTTTCGGAAAGCCGAGGGAAACGTAGGTTTAGATTGTGTTTTGGCCTACATTGTCGCTCTAAAATGTCGAAAAATATTGTTAATGGTTATAATCGTGCACCAGATCTTGAGAATGCCTATTCCAATCTCTAAACGTATGAATATGGCTGAAATAGACAATTCCGTTGAATGCCTCATTCAAATAACTAAACAATAGTGGCTTGTTTAGTCCATTATGGATTAGAAACATATTTGTGTAACCTTTACTTGCAAGGAAAACAGAGCAATATGAACCAAAGAGACTTATGCTGGTCACCAACTCCAAGTGATTGTGGCCCTAACAAGCAACATTGCAAAACAGTAACATTTCTCGGACAACAAAAACATATTTACATTGTCATTAAATGAATAATGAATAACAATACAAGACCAAGATTACGAGCATCAAATATCTATGATAAAAGGCTCCTTTACTCGCAGTGGTTCCGAAGTTGGTGATTTCATATACCAAGCTGTTCACTGACTACGGTTATCTCTCACAAATTCGCCACGAGAAAAAGACGTACATGTTTGAAGTTGGTGCTTTAGTTAAGTGATGATTGTGGGTAAGGGTCAATCCAACATTTGTCTTCCTTGACAGCATTTTCCCATCTTTTACGGAACGTTTGCATTTCGATGAAGGACTGTCTTCTCACCTGAAACCAAGTTATATGATTCATATGTAAAGAACGGTTGCGTATAATAAGAGAAATCGATTTCGTTGAACAACTTATAAAGCAATGTCTAAGTGGCCTTACTTCTGGTCTATTGTCGACTGTATGGGATTCTGATGGTGCCTGCAATTTCAAAGAAGACAGAGTGTTATAAATTGTCGAAAAAGGCTCTTATGTTCGGTAAAATGATATTAAAAAAAACATACCGATGCTTCTTGGTTAGAGAGGTGCTCCGTCTGAGTCCGAGTAATGTTCATTTGCGTGGAATTTAACTGCATCACCAAGAAGAAGAATGACTGTTAGAGACAAACAGCGAATTTGACATGAATATTCTGGGTAAGAATGTATTCTGGTCGTTTTCATAGTATAATGTTGAGCTGCTGTCTAGACCTACGATCCCCTTCCATTTACATGGGTTTCGATGAATACTTGCCTCAGTTTTGGCCACGACACCTAGTGTTGGAAGACCCAAATGAACTATGTACTGGGCATCAACCACTCCGACATTTTTCATACGATCACCCTGCATGAGAGTCCAAATATCAACGGAATGCCCATGTGAGTCAGAAACAAACTCTATATTATATGATTCAAAAAGTTACTTGTGCACAATAACCGAGCTGCTTGTCGAGGCCCCAAGCATGGATCAAATCATTCTGTAGGCCAAAGGAATAATACAGAACAGTTACAATAAAGGCAGATGTAACCAGATCTTATTTGCAGAAGTCTCGTAATCACGTTGTGAAAATAACCGCAAAACAATAAAGTTCGAAATGTTGGTAGTTCAATAAATACAGCTGAAAACAATGTCACTATGTTGTAAAAGTACTCGGTCATTGTTCAACCAATATGACCGAGTGCTCACGAAAATACTTCTTACCTGGATCATATACCAAGCACAGCGCCAGGCAGCTCTTGAGAACACCGGGGCCATCATTTCCACCCATCTGCAAAACATATTTTATTAGCTGCCTAAGAATAACAATAAGTTATCACAATGCAAAAGGCGTTGAATTTCGAAGATAGCATCCACGAGCCAGGAAGTTACTGCTAGTTTACCCGATACAAGGAGGAGCAGTGCTGCGGCTATCGCACCTTCCACTGCCTTTAAACTTGTATATCCTTCTGTTTGAACGAGATAAATTGAATGTATCATTCACTAACAAAGGTTAATAGAACATTCTGAAGAAATACAGGAAAATACATGTCTGATCTTCATGCATAATGACTAACGAGACCATAGGACAGCTTTGTTTGTTAGAAAATGGTATAGTCTACACAGACTGAGTCTTGAAAGAAACTATTTTGCACCGTCATTAACAGTTGATAGGGTCCGGATCACTACAATTTCCCCGCTAAATTTGTCTTTCAAGTGAATCAGGAGAACTGTTCCGAAAGGACATTCTACTGGTTTACACAACGAACCTGTGCAATTTTGAGTTCCTTTTGCGTGCTGTGATTTGATGATGCACGTCGGACTTAGCAGGATCTAGTGCAGGTTGTGATATCTCGAGTCCCTCATCTTCAACAATAGACAAATATCTACAGAAAGTTTGATACGTTTTAAACTCAGAATCAAAATTCAGACTTAACAAAATTGCGAAAAACAAACAGGGACACATAGTTCCTGTGCACATGCTCGTCTGTAACACTCGAATACGGTTAGAGGCCAACTCTAAACTATGAGATGAAAAACTTATGGAAGATCAAATCTTATTCGCATAAATGTAGGATATACTTACTGTGTCGGATCAAAGTTATCTACACCAAGGTCTTCATCCCAGAGGAATACATACTTGTATTCGGAAACTATATCCGGATGCAAGAAACGTTTGGCAAACCACCTAGAACAACATATCTTACCAGCTGATCAGCATGCATAAGACAAATGCTTGCAGACACAGCCAGAAGTGAACAAGGAAGATAAAAATCTCCGAAAAAACGGCATTTACCATTTTGTTTGATTCACTGCAGATAAATGTATGGCCCGGTCGTTCCATTCCAAATCTCTCCATTCATCCACAACACCATCATAGTGGAAAAGCATCACAACAAAATCTCTTGCAGGAAACTGTAAATCGATGATCATTGTTAAACACGAGTATAAAAAGATAATTTGAAATAAAAAAGGCATTTGAGAAGTCGAGGTACCTTTTTAATGATTCGATCCACAATTTCCTTTTGTTTAATTCCAACAGCAATGGCTAACAAGTTTGCAGATGGCTCTAGATTACCCTATAATTGAAATTTAAGCATAAAAGACAATCAAATAAGGTTTACCGAGTAGCAGAAGAAAGCGATTGAAGCGTGTCATTATAGAAAATTTTCAACAGTACAGGTTCCACAGTGTCGCTCCATAAAGGTCTCATTTCTAGGTTTGATGTTTTGACTACAATTCCTTCAGGTAATGCCTCGCTTCCAGGAGGCCGACACCGAACCTGTATGGAAAACAACAAGATTTAGAAGAGAATCGTATATTACAAAACATTTAAAAGTACTTGATGCACTATCCAAAAAGAAGACCAACCTTGCACATAGCAGATTTCGAGCTCTGAAGCATATCAATAACCTCCCATCTCGACAATCTCTACATACAGGATTCAAAATATATGATATGAGATAAAAAAAACTTTCAGCCATGATAATCCAAATAAAGAGCATCCACAAAAAGTCGAAGTCACATTGAATTGCAAAGTTCTGAACTTCATTTGATGTGTGAGAAGTCTTTTAGTGTGTGCACGTACTATTTATTCCCGTCTGCGACAAGTTTTTATAGTTTAGATTTTCATCAGATAATAAAAGGTGATATTGTGCTTTCATGCATCAACAAGTGGAACCAAACTTGAACTTGACAACCATGTCGCCGAAGTTAAAGGAATTAGAAGAAACCTATATCAGCTTTAACTACTCTTCACATGCCTTGAGCATCACTGAGTATAATAACACAGTTCCTCACCAGAAAAGAAAAAATTAAATTCCAACAGGAAAAAAAGATAAATTGCAAAAGCAGAAACGCGTACATCGTTGTATTCCTTAGCGATAAATCCACTACCAATGAAATAAGCACCACAAAACAAAGAAGCTACAACAAAGAGACTGCAGAGGCATGTCCTACTCTTTGAATCCGACATCGCAGAAGCCTGTAATGGAAAGCAGAGGAATTTATATCCACATTCCATACCATTATAAAGATTAGATAGTCAAATAAGACAGCAAAAATAAAGGAAGAAAACCAGAAAGTAAGTCCAAGACAAAGAGAAAATATTGAATTTCTTCGAGTCATTTTACAAGTGTTTTCCACTTATAATCACCGAGTCGAACTGCACCCTTTTAATTTGTATAACTAAGAAGGTATTGATCAAATCACCATGGACAGAATGTTAAAAACATACAAGAGAGGAGACGCGAAAATCAGGCAAGCCGCAGGTAAAATCATCCTTAAAGCCAATACAATCAAAGGAAAAACCGAACAAACTTAAGATTGCAACTGTCTAACTTCTCGAGACATCCTAAAAGTGTCTGCCATATAGTCATCGAGTAGGCGTGCATCTTTTAAATTCGTCTTAGAAATCATTGATCAAATAAACGTAAAAGAACATAAAAGAACGGAGACCACCAACTGAAAAACAGGCAAGTCACAGGTAGAATCATCATTGAAAACAATGCAATCCAAGTAAAATCTGACAAGCTTAAGATGATATCTTCATTAAATTTAAGATTCTGGCCAGTTTTAGTTATCAATAATAGCAAATGATAAACACGACAATATACTCAAAATTCAATATCCTTCTTGCTCTCTCTCATGTTCCCACATGCTACAATCAAACAATGGATTACAGAACTGCACTGAAAATTCCATACCAGACAAAAATAAATCTCAATCAAGCAGATGAATTACCACAAACTGAGAAATAGAACTAAATTTGAATTATGAAACAAACCAAATAAGCTTCTCTCATTTACAAAACAACAAGAAACAGTAAGACTCAACCTGGTGTGAAATTAAAGCGAAACTGAAGCAGAAAATCACCAAAAAAGGGAGAAAATTCAAACCCTTGCTGGAACAGAGAGTTTTGAAGAAGCTTACACAGCTAAAAGACATCTTCTTTACATGAGAAATTCAATACCCAGAAAAGAGATAGAGAGATACCCGAACTTAAAAATACGAAAAGTTTTCTTTTTGGCTATAATTTACAACATGAGAAAGCCTACAGAAAAAAGCAAGGAATGAAAAGGTGGGAACAAGTAAAGAGAGGAAAACTCTAAAGTAGTCAACTTCGGCAATGCGTGAAGACGGCGTCGTAATGAGAAAGCGAAGGTAAAACTTTCCACAGAGAAAAAGAACAATTTTGACAAGAGGTAAAAGAAGAGATGGAGTCGTTTGAGAAATAAAAGCCGTTTTTCATGAATATATTTAATATTTAATATTTATTTTTTAATAATTAATGTGTTTTTCTTTGACTGTTGTGTTCTTTTATGATGTTTCTGCTGCGTTTTGCTTTGTCGTCGTGAAAGCTTATAAGTTACAAAGGGAGACGCACGCGCCGGTTTCAACGGGATATTGTAAGAACGTGGGAGATAATGGAGAGCGAGTGGCCTGTTCGAGTATTCCAACCATTTGTAATCGCTATCTATGGACGCCACGTGTCCGACATTTTTCAACGTATGCGTAGAAGAGGAAAGGAGGTAAACTTTGCACAGTTGGTCTTCACTTTTGTGGTGGTCAAAGTACATGTCAGTTCCCTTTATTATTTGTCCGTATTAATTTTGTTCCTCTATTATCAGATAGAACAATTTAGTCACATTTATTATTAAGCACAAACACCAAATGTCATTGAATTATGCTCAAATGATCATTTTGATTATTAAATTTTTTAGAAATCATAAAAATAATTATATTAAATTTATTAAACGGTTATAGAATAATATTCAAATTTTTTAAACTTCAAACATTTAAACTGAAAATATTAAATTGTAAAAATTTGGTATTATCTGATTTTTTTTACTAGTACAAGGACTGAGGGGCTGTTTGTTTATTTCAGAATGATTAAGAGCTGAATGATTCAAATATTGAATGATTCAGAGGCTCTGTATGAATTAGCTCTGAATGTGACATGTTGTTTGATAATGACTCTGAATGATTCATAATGTACTTTGATGTTGAATCATTCAGTACTGTTTTGTTGAATCAATCAGCACTGAATCATTCAGAAGTGAGAAACAAACACGTTGAATGTTGAACGGTTCAACATTCAGCGCTGAATGGTTCCATTCAGAGCCAAACAAACAACCCATGAGTTAACCCATTTAATAGTAGAGGGATAAATCGGAACAAGTTTTCGTGATAGATGTATTAATTTGATCTGATCAATAACAAAGAAGACTAAATTGATATAACTCCTAATAAAAAGGACCTGACGAACACTTTCACCATTTTATCGTTTATCTTCCTTTTTCACTCATTTTTCATCCCACAAAGTCCCAAGAGTCCAACTCATTCAAAAGAAAACCTCATTTTTTTTTTGCATAAATTTCCCATCAGCTAATCATATTTATGCAAGAAAAGAGTTGAATAATGGAATCGTATTCAAAATGTGTATAGATTAATCGAAGAAAAGTATCTTTCATTTCCCACTCACCAATCTCCACCATCTTTCCATTATACAAAGAAAATAACAATTTAAAAAAAATGATTTTTTTATTGTTTCAAGGATTCGATTTGATTAATCTTGACCGATTCGCGCCGTACACCTGTCTTTAGTGGATAAGTCTCTCAACAGAAATTTTCTGCATACACAAAGACTCGAATCTGAGACATTGCTTAAGCGATATCAAGCTACTTACCACTTGATTTTGAGTTTTAAGATTGAGGATCCGTTTGTTTCACGTAAAACGTTTTCCGGAAAATGTTTTCCTCATTTTCCAGTGGTTGGTTCGAGGAAAACTGGTTGGTCAACGTAAAACATTTTTCTGGTTAACAGAATTTCCATTGTGTTTTCTGAAAAATGACTTACGGCTTAAATTTTAATATTCAAAGAATATTTTCCAAACTTTTTCACTTCAAAGAATAAATATTCAAAATAATTTTATTTTATGAATTCAATATTAATAAAATATTTTAATATTATTTTAATCAAAATATTAATTATTAAAATATTTAAAATATATTTATTAATATTTCTAATAATATAATATTATATTTTTAATATTATAATAAAATAATCAATTATATTATAATAATATAATATAAGATATTATATTTTATTTTAATAATATATAATAAATTATTAATAAAATTTATATGATTTATTAATTTCATAGAAATAATATTATTATATTATTAATAATGAATAATATTATTTATATATTTAATAGTAATATAATAATCTAATAATATTTTAATAAATATATTTAAAATATTAATTAATATTTATTATCGTAAAACATTTTTATTTCAGTAAAATATACCAATATTTTTATTTTTATTAATAAATTTATAAAAATAATATTTTAATAATAAATAAATCATTTTAATATTTTAAAAATAATAATATTAAGTTTTATGATAAATAATATTATTTATTTTATTTAATATTTGTAATAAATAATTTTAAAAAAAAAACTCATCAACTAGTAGAAAAAGAGTTTAAACAATATATTCCAAATATCGTAAAATATTTTTCAGAAAATGTTTTTCAGAAAATATAATTCATTTTACGGAAAACATTTTCCGAAAAATGTTTTCAGTAAAATAATCAGACCCTAAGAGTGAATATCTTTATCGAATAAAATGAAAGAAAATACATTTATAATTACCATTTTATTATTTAAATTTTATTTTATTTTAATTTTAAATCGAATTAGTAAATCAAAACCAACACATTACCATATAGAGAATGATATAGAAATTACTCTTTGATAATCGGCAACTGACCATAAAGAGTAACACTATAATAGTAACTTAGTTTCTAACAGTCACAAAGAAAGACCTAACATAAACATTCATAAAACATGGGGTTTTTTTTTTTTTGCCATTAGGGTAGGCAAATTCAGAATTTATTTTGCAATTTACAGCAAATATTACGGTACATGATAAACTCATAACATCGACGTGATGAGTTTGATAATCGGTACATGCTACGGTACATGTTAAGTTGCGAAATGTATAAACCTCTATCCGTTTCACTTTCCTTCATTTGTCGTAAACTACAAATTACTCGAATAAATCATAAATTATCTCTTTGCATACGTGATATTCGAATCTAAAACTTTAAAGAATAACAACAATTATTTAACCACTGAGATCATTTGGTTTGTGCATCGTTTATATTATAAAGAGTAAACAATATAATATACTATTAAACTTTAGGCAGTGTATCATTTATATTACTAAACTTTATATTTTTCCAAGTATAGCTTTAAACTTTGATTTTTAGCTTCAATTATGTTATCGGACCATCAATTTAGTGGCAAAATCGACACATACCTACAGTCGTCGTTGCGATTTTTCAAATTCGTTGTGATAGTTAAAAAAAAAAAATTTTGTTTCTCTAAAAAGATAGTATCCGCGCGGACGTGTCGAAGACACGTACTACCACGACCACAACCACGACCCGAGACGGACGGCGGCGGCGCGCGAGAGTCCCCCTTGTTCTCTATCACTCAACAAGGAAGTGAGAAAGACAAGCCTTAAATACTATTCCCAATAGTATTTCTAATACTATGTGGGATTTGAGCATTACCAACACTTGTTCCCAATACTATGTGGGATTGAGCCTTAAATAGTGATATTATTTTTGAATGTTTTGCTTAAAATTGCAATAATCGCGATTGATTGTAGATTGACTTTTAATTATGACATATTTGATCGTATAATACTAATGCAATTGGTTGTTAATTCAGTTGTTTTAAGGTGCATGATTGTTAATTGTTTCCTGAATAATCCCATTGTATTGGAAACAAGTGTTGGTAATGCTCAATCCCACATAGTATTAGAAACACTATTGAGAATGGTATTTAAGGCTTGGCTTTCCCACTTCCTTGTTGAGTGATAGAGAACAAGGGGGACTCTCGCGCGCCGCCGCCGCCGTCTGTCTCGGGTCGTGGTCGTACGTGTCTTCGACACGTACGCGCGGACACTATCTTTTTAGAGAAAATTCTTAAGAAACAAAATCTTTTTTTTAACTATCGCAACGAATTTGGAAAATCGCAACGACGACTGTAGACAATCGCAACAATTTCGCAAATCCAAAAAAAATTAGTCAAAATCGTATATTATCTAGGATTTTTAGTCACTGAGGTTATTTTCTCTTTATTCTTTTGTGATTAATTTTTCACCAAACTTATTCAAAAATGGATAAAAATTTATTTAAAGGTGTGACATGATAATATTCAAATCTTCTCTGAGAATCGGTCGATGATATTAGATTTGAAATATATTGTTCGTATTCTCAAAATAATGCTTTTCACCATTCTAATTTTTGAATAAACACAATCAAATCTTCAAATCTAAGAGAGCCCAAAATCTTTAAAAATAATATATATTTTTATTTAATTGTATCCATTTTGAGTGGATTTTTTATAAAAAAAATTAGTCGTAGAAAAATAAATATGAGTGAAATATAATGTTTTAGTATTGATCTGGTTACAAAATACGATTGGTGATTGTCGGTGATTGGATCAAGTGCTAGTTTTACCTTCGAAATCATATCAAATTTTGGGCAACTATCCGTCCCGTTCACTGACCAACTGAAGGTTACTTTCATGCAAGAAGCGGTTCCGCCGGCCACTAAGGTGACCCAGGCGGTGGAAGGGGAAGGTAATGTAGAAAGAATAAACAAGAGATTCCGACCAACGGAAGGTGGTGACGCTTTCGAAGAGGAGATGCCAAAAAGATCATGGAAAGATGCAGTGATAAGCCCGACCCTTCTTCCCGAAAGTTTTCAATTCTCGACTGAAGTTGAAGATGTAGATTCAGACGAAGAAGAAACTTCTGAAGGGGACAACATCCCGACAATTGAGATTCCTCAGGAATTGAAAGGAAAGTTGAGGAAACCATGGAGAAAGGCGATTATTATCAAGGTATTGGATAAAACGGTGGTCTACAAAACCCTAATCAGTAGAATAACAAATATGTGGAAACTAGAAGGTGAGTTTGAATGTATCGATCTTGGGTATGGATTTTATGCAATTAAATTTCAGAATATGTTGGATAGAGCTAAGGTTCTCATGGAAGGCCCTTGGAAGATCATGGACCATTATATTACGGTGCAGAGATGGCGTCCCAATTTCGTGGCAGCAAGCGCAAGTATTCCTTCCACGGCAGTTTGGATCCACATTCCAGGGCTCCCTATCGAGTATTTTGAGGAAAGTGTCTTGTGCAACATAGGAAAACTTGTTGGAAAACCTATCAAGATTGACTATCACACAGCTTGGTCAATAAGAGGGCGATTTGCCAGAATATGCGTGGAAATTGATCTAGGCTCTCCTCTGTTGTCTAAGGTTCGTATAGGGAAAAGGGTCTATAATATTGAATATGAGGGGCTGCACTCGATCTGTTTCAATTGTGGCATGGTGGGTCACAGAGTCACAGACTGCTTGGCCAATCAGAAAGTGACCCCTATAAGCAGAGAGGTGAACATAGAACCACAAGCTCAAGAACACCAAGAAAGACAGGAGGATGAACAGGAGAAATTTCAACATGAAGGGAAAGAACTGGATAAGGAAAGATACGGACCTTGGATGTTGGTTCAACGGAGATTACGAGGAACGAGGAATAACCAGAAGAATAAAAGTAGTAGAATTCATGAATCACGACAGCATAATAGATTTGATGGTTTGAATAATATTGATGGAAATGAGATGAGTAAGGAAAAAGAGGATCACAGCCCGAACCAAGAGGTGTACAAGAACATTAATACGACTGGTAGGTCTGCAAAAGACATGAGATCGACCAGAAGTGAAGATGGTAGCAGCAGAGCTAAAACTCGTAACTTGACAGAAAGCTCAGGAGGTGAGTTTCATAGGAAAACAGACGAGTCTTTGCGGCCTCCAATATTCCTTGCGATGAGAGACGAACAGGGTGGAATAAAAGGCAACAAATATACTGGTGGAAACAATCAAAAAGTTGGCATGGAACCAGAATTAGAGGTGAGAAAGAGAATGGAATATCACGAAAACCCATCTATGGAGGTTGAAAATGCTACTAGTATAGCTGAATTCCAGGTTGTTCGGGAGATGGAAACTGAACCAATTGAACCGGAACATGTTGATTACACTAAGGAGATGATGACCTTTGAGGCTTGCACGAATATTAATTCCACCCAATGAAGTTGATGTCTTGGAATTGTCGTGGAGTAGGTAATCAAAATTTCATCAGGAACTGTAGAGAGTTGATTCGGGAGGAGAATCCAACCATTATTTGTCTTCTCGAAACAAAAGCAAAGACATGTATTGGTCCTTTGCTCTAGAAAAAATTGAAGTTCGATAATCATTTTGAGGTCCCCTCTCAAGGTCTCCGGGGAGGTTTAATTCTTCTTTGGAATTCTAATTCGCATGAGGTGACCATTCGGCAACACACAGACCAGGTTATCCACTGTGAAATTATAGAAGACGATAAAAGATGGTTGCTTTCCACTGTCTATATCCAACCTCATTCGCTTAAAAAATAAGAAGCATGGGAGAATATCTACAATTACTCTACAACTATTAATTAGCCTTGGATGATAGTGGGTGACTTCAATGACTTTGCTACATTGGAAGAACGTTTAGGCAGTAACTCCAATTGCATGAGTCGCATCGTCAAGTTTCGCGATCACTAGAATAGATGCAACCTGATGGATGCTGGATATGTTGGTAACAAGTTTACTTGGACTAGACACCTCCATGGAAGAGTCACTCTTCAGGAAAGACTCAATAGGTTACTTCATAATATGGAGATGGTCGAGTACTTTCCGAACCTTCGAGTGGCTACATTAACAATAGTGTACTCTGACCATAATTCAATTCTGATTAACACGAATTGGGATATTCCTGGAGAAAAAGAGAAACGACCTTTTAGATTTGAAGCATCTTGGCTTACACACGAGGATTTCAACAAAATATTCAGTACAACATGGGACAAAAAGAAATACTCTCTTGTGGAGGCAGTGGAAGAGACCAAACAAGCGATCATAGATTGAAAGGAGAGTACTTTCGGGAACATTTTCAAACGTAAGAAGACCCTGCTGAAACGAATCAAATGAATCCAAAGATCTATAAATTACTTTCATTCGATACATCTTCAAGAATTGGAAAAGACCCTTGGCGCTGAGTATCAACAGGTGTTGGAGCAGGAAGAAATCCTTTGGCTTCAAAAATCTCGACTGGATTGGATTTTGAAAGGAGAAAGGAACACGAAGTTTTTTCATATCACGACCATGGTAAGGCGCAAATTTAATAAAATTGTCGGGCTGTACATTGGGAATGAATGGATCACAGATAAACATACCCTTTGTCATCATGTCTGTAACTTTTACAAGGGGTTGTTCACTGCGAAAGTGCACGTCCAGTTGTCAAGGGATTACGATCGTTTCATGCCTAGATTAAACGAAGAAGAAAGAACCGAGCTAATGAATCAAGCCACTATGGAGGAAGTAACATTAGCATTGCTCTCCATGAAGGGTTTGAAAGCTCCGGGTCCGGATGGCATTCAACCCATTTTCTATAAACGAAACTGGGACACTGTTAAAGACACCATACGAGAGTTCGTGAATAGAACCTTGAATTTGGGAAAATGGAGACAAAAATCTTAAGAACCTTCCTGGTGCTAATTCCGAAAATCACTGCAGCTGACAACATTACTCAATTTCGGCCAATTAGCCTGTTGAATACGTCTTACAAGATCTTCTCAAAAATTATCGTTCGTCGCTTGTGTCCTATGTTACAAAGAATGATCGGTCCTTACCAAAACAGTTTCCTAAAAGGTAGAAGCACATCTGATAATATATTGATAGTTCAGGAGGCAGTACATTCCATGATGAACCTTAAAGGAAGGAAGGGTGCAGTGATCGCCAAAATTGATCTACAAAAAGCCTATGACAATGTCAGTTGGGAATTTCTCAAGAAAACTCTCAAAGACTTCAATTTTCCTGGAAGATTGATAGAGGTAATAATGTTTTGCATTACTTCCACTACTATTGAACCGTTATGGAATGGGGAAATCACCGAGAGCTTCAGTCCTGAGCAAGGTCTACGCCAAGGTGATCCGTTATCGCCTTACTTGTTCATATTGGTTATGGAAAGACTCTCTCACATCATCTTGGATAAAGTGGATAGGGGTATATGGAAACCGTTCAATAGCTCGAGGGGTGGAATTAAATTAAGCCATTTATTTTTTGCGGACGATCTCCTACTGTTTGTAGAAGCGAATTCTGATCAAATGCAATACATGAAAGGCTGCCTAGAGGAATTTAGCCGAGTAGCTGTTGTCGAGGTAAATCTCCTTAAATCAAAACTGTTTATTTCCCCAAATATTAACTCTTCCACAGCTCAACACCTAAGTGAATTGTGTGGCATCCCCCTTACGGATAATTTGGGAACTTACTTGGGAGTCCCTATAATCCATAAAAGAGTTAATGCAGGAACCTATGATCCTCTCATTGAAAAAGTAATGAAAAGATTGGCAGGCTGGAAAGGAAGAGTCCTATCCATGGCGGGTAGGAAAACGCTCATTCAAAGCGTTACAAATGTCATTCCAATACACACGATGCAAACTTCCGTACTTCCTGTTTCGGTCTGTAGAAAGCTGGACATAATCAATTGTAATTTTTTGTGGGGAGGAGATATAGCGAATGCTCACAATCATCTGGTCAGCTGGGATAAAGTGTGTCAATCCAAAAAGACGGGAGGGTTAGGCATCCGTAAAGCAAGATTAATGAACATCGCTCTCATGGCAAAAAACAGCTGGAAACTTCTCACCAGACAAGAGAATCACTGGTGCAAAGTGTTTGAAGGAAAATATCTAAAGAATAAAGATTTCTTGGAGGCAGATTCAAGAGGAAATAGCTCTTCAACATGGAGGGGACTGCTACGAACTCGCAATTTATTAAAGCATGGGCGTAAATGGCAGATTAAGTCAGGTGTTCAAGCTAAGTTCTGGCAAGACTGGTGGGTAGGTAAAGAACCGTTGAAAAACTTATATCCCCTAATGGACCACCCGAGCAGAATTGAAGAGGTGGCCAGATACATTGACGATGATAGATCTTGGAATATCCGAGGAATACAGCACATGATCGCAGAGGAAACAAAACTGGAAATTCAAAAAGTTCCGATCCCGCAATTAACTGATCCTAACAAACATGATGTTAACACTTGGGGCTTCTCAAAGGATGGGCAATTTACGGTTACTTCAGCCTATCAAACCATGTCTAACATGGATGTCGGTGGTCATACTGGGGACAATCTAATGTGGGTATGGAGAACTAAAACCACTGAAAGAATCAGTTTTTTTATTTGGTTGTCTTACCTTGACAAGCTTAATACGAATGAAGTTAGATGCAGGAAGAATATGACTCAGAATGCGAACTACAAAGATTGCCGAGATGTTACAGAGTCCATTGACCATATATTCCGGACGTGTCGAGCAGCAAATTCCGTTTGGGAAGAACTACAAGCGAAGGAGCAGGACAACCAATTTACTTCGTTGGAGTTTAGGAGTTGGCTGAAATGAAATTGTCTATCAAAGAAGGTCGGGTTTGATGGATTAGAATGGGGTCCTTTGTTTATGGCTATAATTTGGGGACTGTGGAAGAGCAGGAATGAAAGGATCTTCAAAGAAACGAAATTTGATCCCTTTAAAGTTATAAATTATGCTAAACAGCTTGCAAGGGATATGGAGAAGTCTCTGTCAAATGCGCATAGAAGGATGGTTCATGATCCGTTCTTGATTAAATGGAAAAAACCTCCTGAGGGAGTATGGATTCTTAATACTGATGGTGTGTATAAATTGAATTCAGGCTTGGCTGCTGCAGGTGGTTTAATCCGGGACAGTAACGGTGATTGGATTGCGGGGTTCATGTTGAGATTAGGGAGGGTTAATAGTTCGATTGCGGACGGCTCGTCAGGGTCTTAATTTAGCTAAAAGTCTTGGTTCAAGAAATCTGGTCCTTGAAATGGATGCTAAATGGATTGTGGATCTATTCAATGGAGACATGAAGGAAGATTTTCCGGAATTTGAGTTGGTTACTGACTGTTTAGATATTATAAAGGAAGGATGGGTGACTGAAGTTCGACACATCTGGCGAGAAGGAAACAAATGCGTCGATAAACTGGCGAATCTGGCGCTCATTCAAGAAGACCATTCCTCCATTTTACATTCGCCTCCAGCGGAAATCCAAGCGATGTTGACAGTTGACAAGAACAAAGCGAGCGAGTTGAGAATTTAATTTTCTGTTTTCTCCTAATGTACCAAAAAAAAATCATATCAAATTTTGAGTTAGATGAAAATTCCCTACGGGCCGACAAAATAGTTGAAAAATCCACAAAATAGTTGAAAAATCCATTTTGCAGTCACGTCGCTGGCAGCCACGATATTTCCGGTCGGTCCCACTGGCCCTCACTACACGCCACGTTGCACCACCTTCTCCCTCCGCTCGTGCGGCGCGTCAAACCTCCATCTTCCACTCTCCTTCCTCTCCACTGTATACATTCCTCTCTACCAAACACAAAAAACCACCACAGCAACACATCTCTCTCCGCTTCGGAACGCAGAACTGCATTCATTTTAGTTTCTTCTTTCTGGTTTTATTGATTAAAAATAAATAAAATCTGATTTTGTTCGAGTCGTGAAACGAGAGGAGGGTGAAGGGAACCAAAAGTTATTCTTTTTCGAGGGCTATTCGTAATCTCCGGACTGATACGCAGATCCGTATTCATCTCTTCTTTTGTAAGAACTTCTAAACATTTTGCATTGTTCTAAAAAAGAGAGTAATATTTGTCAAATTAAAAAAAAATGAAACTAGTGTTTTTCGAATTCCCATTTTCTTGTACGACGCATTTACTTCAGTTTTCTGTCTTCAAAAAAATTTAGAAAATTCAACTATTGGTATTTGGAGAAAACTAATTGATAGTTTTTTCATTATTGCTTAAGTTTATATGCATTTTCGTTTTAGTTATTATTCTCTTGGAGCACAGCCTGCGATTTGGTTCATAAAATTGTCAGTTTGATCCGTTTTTCTGGGATTTTTTTTTTTGCGTTTTATTATTTGGGGATATGGGTTTTTGTTGATTGTGCTATAAACTTTTTGTGATCTGTTGAATTAGTGATCTCTTTGGGATATCCTTTTGATTTTGGATCTGAGTCTTTCTCATTCACTAGAGCAAGTTGTATTACTTTTAAGTGAGAAAATTAGGACGCATTTTCTTTGAGGATAATTGAATCCGTATTTTTCAAAAAAAAAAATAATAATAATTGAACCCGATATTAACCAAGAGGGAGACTACATTGAATGAGGCAGTTTCTGGTTGGAAAAGCAACAGGTGCTCTAAATTATGGGTTGCATTTGCTCGAAAGGCGCTCGAGCAAATGACTATGTCGAAAATAACCATGGCAAAAGGGACAAGGCTCACAAGAACTCAAGAAAAACAGCGAAGAAGCGATCTGTTTCGTTTGAAAGGGACAATGGGGTGGTTGAGACAGATGCCACTGCACGGTTGATCTCGGATCAGCAGCCTAACAATAGTGCCGTTTCAGGGCCTTCACCCTCTTCCTATGATGAGGAAAAGAAGGCTGCGTCATCGGTTGTTGAGAGGTCCCCATCTCAGCTGCAAACACGTTCAACAATGGAGGCCGAGGCGATGGGTGGACAAGGGCAGCCTAGGATATCCAGGATCGTGAATGCAACTGGTGGCCAGAGAGGTGCACAGGTAGTCGCTGGTTGGCCTTCTTGGCTTGCAGCAGTAGCAGGGGAAGCTATCAATGGATGGATACCTCGAAAGGCAGAGTCATTCGAGAAGTTGGAGAAGGTCTGCTCAATAGCTTTATCTTTTATTGCTTTTTTAGAGTTCTGATTCTTGTATTCCGCCCATTCCAGAAATTTGTGTTTTTCATATGCATATTTTTTCCCGAATGAGAATGTGTTTTGTTAATGTGCATTTTGATACAAATTATGGCAATCTGTGAGGGTCGTTTAGTTCTTTGATT